GCAATTGCAAAAGCTTCAAAATCGGGGCATGCGATTAATATTGGGATGTAGCCGTTACTCAGCAATTAAATCGATGTTACAGTGTCTAAACTGGTTTTCAGTTGAAGAACGTATATTATATATGACTATGATCTTTATATTTAAGCTGCATAAAGGATTGCTACCCAATTACTTTCAAAAATTCTTATTGAGAAATAATGAAGTTCATGATTACAATACGAGAAGAAATAACAATTTTTACATTAATAAAACTAACACTAAATTTGGAATGAATAGTATATTTCATAAAGGCTTAAACGAATTTAATAAACTACCACAATTTGTAAAAGAATCTAATTCAATAAACCAATTTAAGTCATCATTAAAGAAGTATATTAGTGACAGCTCATTATGATATTTGTAATTTTTTATTTTTTAATGTGAACTAACCTAACAATCTATAGATATGTATGTATATTTGGTTTTCCTTGAAAGGTACTTTAAAATGTTATTATATTTACATAGTTAATGTCGTGAGATATTTATGAATTTGTAATTTTTCTTTTTTTGTATATTAGGCTTGCCTACTTAATAAATAAATTATTGTTCTGATATTTTTTAGGTGACTGAAACAAAAAAACAAAAGAAATCAACGAGTCTAATATCTGCAACAACCACGAATATTTCAAGATTTTTCGATGACTTGGCAGAATTGGTTTACGAATTATATAAAGCGTTGGAACATGCCATGGAGACTGAACACACTAAAAATAAAAAAAAGAAAAAATGGAGTATTGACAACTTTATGAGATATACATAAAATCAACCTTCGATATGTTCAGAAGTTCCTTGGATTCAATTGTGTGGAACTCATGCAGCAATTTTTCCTTATTTGTTATATTTACATTTTACATGTTACTTTTGGGGACTAATAAATTTATTTATTTATTTATTCAACAATTTACAAAAACATATTTAACAAAGTGTGAAGAGCTACAAAGTATTTTTGAATGCTCATGTCTGATGTCTACATTACAATTTACAATTTCACAAAACATTTAGCGAAGTGTGAAATATAAAATATTAATAAATCTTTGTTTAGTGACTACATTACTAAAATATGAAACAATTCTGGTACTTACAAAGAAAATGGTAAGGTAACGAAAAGCTTCGAAAACGCTATAGCCTTTTCAATTGATTTTCAAGGACCTGAAGTGATACATTGAATAGATCTAACTTATGATATTGATTTCCCAGCTTCAGAATACGAGTAATCGGACTGTTCAAATCATAATTGGCATGGAAAAAATTTATATGAAAAATGTCAGGATTTCTCGTATCTTTTTGTTTGATTTGAAAAGTTATTAGTTGAAGTAGTTCTGGGCAGTTTATTTCACTATTTATTGATTTGAAGAGGAAACTCAAGCTTATATAAATTATCCTATCTTCCAATGATTTTATATTTAACTTGGTTAAGAATTGACTGTACTCATATTCATTTCGTTGAATACCAAAGTGAAAAGCACAATTCCTTGAGAATTTTTTTTTAACATTCTCAATCAAATCGATATTTACATTATAGTATGGGTCCCATATAACCGAACAATATTCAAGAATGGATCTTACGAAAGCCCAATATAAAATCTTTTTTGTTTTAATTGAAAAATCAGTAGAAATTCTCAACACAAAACCTAGCATTTAGAGACTTTTTGCCACAATGTCTGATACTTGAAGATTAAAATTAATTTTGCTATCAAATTTAACTCCCTGATCGCGAATAAATGTTTCTCTTTTAAGAGCTATACTATTCAATGTATATTCAAAGAATATTGGACTTCTAATTTTAGCGAATGTAATGATTTGACACTTATCGATGTTTACCTCTAACAAATTATTTCTACACCACATGGAAAAAGCTTCTAGATCTTTTCGAACTAATTCAGCATTTTCCCGGCAAGTAATTGCTCGATAAAGTTTGAGATCATTTGCAAACATAAGAAATTCTGAAATTTTGAATTCATTTTTATTTCCAGTGAACGAGATATTGGGATTTATATTTATTCCATATACAAAGCGCTAATTCACGACATTGTCAGTTGGGCCGGGAAGATAATTTACACATATCATTGATTTATGCATCCGATACAAGTCACAAATTAATAAAAACAAAACCATATGGCTACTTTTCCGAACAGTCTAACCTTTTGATAAAGAATTGCTTTTATTTTTGAAATTCACCAACAGTGAAAACCTCATGTTACGATTTTGAACCAATTTTATTAAATTCATCAGTACTTTATTAATCATACTTTATATTTCATTTTTCAATTCCGATATCTGGCAATTCAAATATTCTACTATACGGAATATTAGATAGAGCCATTCCCAGTTTCAGGTTAAAATTTATGATAACGATATAAAATGTACTTGCTGTTAAATATGAAATTTTCACAATTCATTAGTTGTTGAAACTACTATTCGTGTTGTACCAAGGAATTGAAACCGTAGATACTTTTCAGTAAATAGTTAACTTCACCAATTGGACTGAAAATGTAAGAAATTGCCGCCGACTCACGCTTGTATAGCTATCTCTTTTTATGTATCGACTTCAAGCTATTATCAAGCAAGAGCTCTCGGAAATTGAGCGCAAATATTAACTGTTTTGTCTTCCTTTTTCATTTTTATAAGAGGAGGATGTTGTATAAAAGTATGTGTTGTATTGTTGACGCATATGTATTCTCCAGTCGACCCAAGCGGCTAGTAGCGAACCAGAACCAAGCGAAGATTTGTTAAAATTTGCCGATCATTTTCTAGTAAATTCGTCCTTGTAGTGTTGCAAATTTGGATAGACTATGATTCAACGAGTGAATATATTATTAAAGAGATATCTTTACCTCCCGGTATCTGGGATATGCGTTCCTCAGAAAAATTAGAAGGATCCATAGTTGTCGAATAGTTTTAGTTGACAATGTAAATGAATACATTCGTTCCCAAATGTCTCTTCTAAATTTTCAGGATACTGTATTAACTGCCATTGCGATGGTTAACGTAAAATATTATTTTATTCATAAAGATCGAGGTCGATCACCCGGTTCTTCGGTGTCGGTATTTTCCCAGATGAAAAAGCGTTTGAACTACTTTATGACTGTCTGACCTTTGAGCGTCGTTGTGGTCATGTACAAGTTGGGCTAGACTAAACAAATGTATATATTACATCTTGCCGATAATCATACGCTTGGGAAAGTCAAAAACGCTGGTATGAAGTTTTTGTGGCTAGCGTTGCTGACACGAGGGCTTGGGAGTTTTTTTGCGAGACACAAAAAGTCGGTCACCGGAGCCCGTTGGGACGAGATCGGGGGTCTCATCCCTCAACCTTCGAGGCTGAGGAAGGCGGCCTAAATAGGGGAGTTATTTTGTTTCTATGCGCTTGGTGCGAAATTTAAGGAAAATCGGTAGTGAAATCGTAAAACGGTAATGGGTATAGGGAAGTTGAAAGTGTTGGTGTTGAAGACACACCGGGTCAACGGGACCTATGGTTGACCATGAACCACCCAGAGGCGTTATGGGTTGTTTTTTTACTAAGCAGTTGATATTGAGAGAGATTTCACAAATTATTTTGTCTGAGTTCACTTCCTATTTTCAAAGAGGTGCCGTATTTATAACAATATTTATTGACTAGTTTATTGACAAGATTTTTCAATTCATTTGTATCTATTTCAGATAAATTATCGAAGAAATTGAAATTTTCGTAAAGCTTCTCATATGCATTGAATTATTATATAATATTCTATAGATTTTTTTTATAAAAATTAATTTGAACTCATTTTCAAAAGAGACTATCTTTACTTTTTGCCATCTCTAAAATTTTGGTATTTCAAAAATTTTGCCGCCCCTCAAATCATATCGCCCTAGGCCCGGGCCTCACGGGCCTAGTGCGGTAGTGGCGCTTTTACCATAAATATCAGTCAAGTAACCCTCTGCGAAGCCACTGGAATCAGAATTCCAAATCTAATTGCACGAAAAGAAGACCCTGTTACTCATTAAAACAGACGTTCATATATGAACTTTTTTCATGAAATATAACACCTGAAATGAATGACACCATTCGAGATACACCATGCATATTTTTCACCTACCTGAGCATTATTATGAGAAGACATTCGACAAGGTGTATGTTCCGTACTGCTTCCTCTGTCTTCCACTTCGAGTGACCAAGCGCTTACTGTCAAAAAACCGGCCGTGGCCTGCGTTCTGGACAGCAGGGGGATGCGGAGACGAGCTGAATCCTGTATGGCACTCAAAAGAACACAAGCTGATCCGAGAGGTACGGCAGTATGCGAGACCCTCTCCCTGACATCGAACACTGTGAATCTGACGCGCGTCTCCCCCGAAAGACCGTCAGAGGCACGAAAGCTCACTGTACTGAGAAATCCAGGGTTGCTGCTCCTCTGAAAATGAGAATAATATCGACCGTTCGAGTGAGTTGACAACGTTTCTTGTCGAATTTAGAGGTTACACTTCGATAATCTAAAAATATTTACAGACTCAAACCTATATTTATTCACATAATAAGCCCATAATATAAATAGAATTTCATTCTTAAAGCTCTTGCGTGTGTTACATCATCAACTTCTGGAAGAGCCTCTTGAACTTCAACATTTCAACTAGTATTCAATTAGTGGATGGCGATTTGATATTGAATGGGACATTATATGCCAGATTGACCCACAAACATTTCAAATCTTGTGATACACTGTTTGGAACCTTTGGTGTAATAATGTATATTACTGGAGTGTTTTCCACTAAATCGTTATTTATAACACCTCGACACGTGTTTCGATCACCAAGTGATCATCTTCAAGAGGAAGATAAAACTGGAAAAACCTGCAAGGCTAACCATATATATACTATACATGTATACCACACCTTTGGTGTTGGGAAAAAACTCCGGTAATATTCAATATTCAAACATTTTAAATGTTTGGACTAATGGAAAGCATTGATTGGTATAGTCATATACTTAACAAAAGCCTTCAATATGGCTGATCATTCCTTTTTGATTGAAATACTGGGTCATATGGAAGTTAGAGGCACACCACACAGTCTTTCAAAAAGCTATCTTTCAAATAGAACAAAAAAAGTTAGCATAGATCAGATGAGCGAAAAAAAACTATATAGTGCGATGTACCTCAGGGAACAGCACTGTGGCCAATCCTAGTCAGCATTTATTCAAACAATCTTTTCTTGTTGAAAAAAATCTGAAATTGTAATCTTCGCTGATGATAATGTTTGTTCTGTGGATACATAACAATTTGACACTCAATTTAGATCATATAAATTCTATATAACTGCCTCAAGCGTGTTCATGTCAACTATGTATGCCTGATAAAGCTATTGTATAGTGGCCAATTTCATCACACATAATAAAGACATTCTTATTTAAGGACGACTGTATCTCAAGAAGGACTCTCATCCTTAACACTTTATCAATAGAATACCAACACTGTAGAAAACATCAATTTTTATAGACTTATTGGCGAGTTTTATAGAAAGAAAGCACAAGAAGTTTATTTTATTTAAATTTTGCAATGTAAAAACAACTTTCGTTTTCTATAACTATTATTGTCCTTGTTCATATTCTCGGTTCACGTCAAACTATTCGGCTATATATTAAAAATTATGTAGATTTTTTTAAAACAAAATGTTTTTGTTTCCTTCTCATACAGTGCATGTCTTTAATGTCCCTTTCCTTCTATTTTTTGAACGGGTCAACTCAAAAAATTGAAATTCGGGATAATGAAATTAATGCATGAATACTTTATTTTGAAGTGAAATTGACTGATGACACTTTTAAGATGGCGACTGAGGGCCATCTGGGAAAAAAAATTAAATGGAAAGGGGGGCCTTGTGAAACATAATTTTGAAGCTCTTGACGAATACTTCACAACCCTAGAATATGAAGTCAATATCTTCACCTACTACAAAATGGCGGAACATTTGATAATTTCCTGAAGACAAACACATTAATATCGATATTTCTAGAAATATTCCTTTTTATCTGCCATATGGCATTTCCAACAACCCGATAAGGTTTGTTAAGTTATGTATAAAAACGACAAAAAATGTCAGTACGACAATGAACATCGTTGTTCAGTTAGAATATTCTTATTTAGTTTTCGGTTTTACTAGTAGAAAGGTACCACGTCAACAATCTCTAAAATGGTCAATTCTCGTCCATTGGAAGAAAAAATTGAAGCGATTTTTATATTTCCGGTGCGACGCGTAACTTTTACGGGACCGAAAGGATTTTCAATGAACGTTTTCCGAATCGTCCTATCTGTAGAAAATATTTGAGGAAACTTGTATCCCAATTCACAATTACCGGTAGTGTACATAACAAAAAGCCTCCAGGTCATCCATCCATTCCAGAAGAACAGCAAGTGCAAATAATTGGTGAAATGGTAGTAAACCCTGAACAGTTTACTTATTCTCTCGTGAATGTTTGTGAGGTGTCTCCTCCTACTGTGTGGAGACTTTTGAAGAGGAATAGGTATCATCCATACACAATTAAAATCGTACACCAATCAACTGAAGATGACCCTGATCGAAGAACAGAATTCTGCGAAATCATGAAGGAAACCATTGCAAGGCATTCTCTACAATATTTGTTTTAGTGACGAATGTACTTTTTTTTAAACGACAATGTTTACAGACAAAATTGCCGTTATTGGAGTGACACCAACCCTCACGTTTTCCGGGAAACACATACCCCATATCCAGAATAAATTAACGTTTGGACAGGAATATTGGGAAACCATATTGTAGGACCTCTATTTATTAATCGAAATTTAACACGGAACTGTTATGAATATGCTGGAAACTACTGTTGACCCTCTCATCACTGAAATCGTCGAAGCGAATCCTAATGAATTCAATGAGGATATTGTGTTCCAACAAGATGGAGCACCACCACATTACTCCAGACAAGTAAGAAACTATTCATATACTACTTTTCCCGGTCGTTGGATTGGCCGTCAAGGTCCTACAGAATGGCCAGCCCGCTCGCCAAGTTTGACACCTTTGGACTTTTTTATGGGGCTATTTGAAGCAAAAGGTGTACGAAACTGAACCTGCTTCAATATTGGATATACGGCAGAGAATAATAAATGTTTGTAGAGATATTGAGGTTACTGTGTTCGAAAATGTTCGGCGTGAAATATCGGAAAGGCTGTTCATATGGGCCGAGGAAAAAATTATTAACATCAACTACACTAGCATGGGTATTTGGCTTTATTGTTTCCATTTTGTATGTATGTCTAAATGGAGATATTTCAAAAGTTTTTATTAGTTTTAATTCCCATATTTTGAAGATATAGTTCTCCACTGACTGGGTAGGCATGAATAAATCTAGACATTGTGATGGTTGTCCACCTAAGATTATATATCATAGTTTGTAGCCTGTCTCGTTTTGTGTTGCCTAAATATGAAATTAACTTTTACTGCAATTATTCCATTATTGGGTTATTGGTAGGACTGACATGTAACAACACAAAAACCGTCAACAAAAATGAAACAAAAAAGTGTTTTAAAGATTTCTGAAAATCAAGTCTTCAAAGGTCATGTAATTATCCAATACAAATTGCATTTCAAAGATGTCTCTATCTATCTCTATCTAGATAAACTAAACAATATTGAATTATTGATTCAGGACCAACAAATTGAAACAATTGATATGTGGCAGTCCTATGATTTACCTCAATTATCTCAGTTCTTCCGTATTGGACCCAAAATTTGGAAGATGGCATATAAACGTCTACTACCAAAGACGGGTTAGGGGGTCTACCATGACCATCACAGAGTAAATTATCACATGCTAAAGAAATTTCACAGAGTGGAACCTCAGTTATATCTGAAAAATACAGAATGATCAAAAAAACTTATTTGACAAAATAAAAACAAACAAATGGTCAGTAATGTAATGTAAGAAGTTTAATTTACCAAACACATGTGTTTGCTGCAACCTCCACGTATGTAAGTCGATATTTGGTTTGTGGTTCCTTCTCCTTTCGATACACTGTCTTAGAGCATTGTATTCAGCTCTAATACCCTCATAGCTAGCTTGCCTTATACAGTCCATCCAACTGGAACGCTCTATATCTGAAGTCGAAGCTAAAGCCTGACTCAGCCCGCCATCAAAAACTGTAAACATATGATTCCGTGTCATCGTTGATAATTAAACTGAAAGTTATAATTTGAGAAATCATTGTAACTGTAGTGTAGCATCTTTCTTGGTAGTTTCACCTCATTGGGTCGTTTGTTATGAAATGTGATGACATTATAATGGGGAGACTTTTTTATAAAGTAACATTCTGAAGAACTTACTGAAGCTTGTATTGTGGTTATGTTCATATGCGTTGGATCATAGGAATTTAATCCCTATCGAAGGTGGGATATCGTCTTTCCAGACGATCTGGTGGAAAACATTCACAAGAAATCACTTTAACACATTCAATATCAGCTTACTCCTTGGACAAGGAAAAAAATTAATCAATAACAGCTTCCGTTTTAGAGATGAACTGCTCTTTATCGTATCCACATATTGTCATAGCTGCATCATTCGCAAAAATAGTTGAATAAACATCTGCCAGGTGCTGTGGAAGTTCACTAACGTACAGCAAACGCAACACAGGGCTACGAACCGAACCGTGTGGCTCACCTAGGTTCCCATTCTGAGTACCAGAAGAGGTTCAAAACCATCATGGTTCTATTTGGCATGTAAGGTTCTAACAGACTTATCAAATTATCTAAAAATCATAATTGTACCAGTTTTGCAGCTAAGAATTCCATGCAAACTTTATCAAATGCCTTTGATGAGTTGAAAATAATAAAAGAACGTAGTTCTTGCAGTCAATAACCGACGAATCACAAATCGTTGAAAGATCCATTGATAATCAAAAAAAATTCAGTATAGGTATCCGCCAGACAGATACAAAGCCCCCCACAAGAGAGAAAGATCACAACACTACCTGTTACTGATAAAATCGAGATAATAATGATGAGACGAGATATCCAGACTATCTACCTACAAACTACAACTAATGATATCGTGACTACTACCCAGACCAGAAGACTGTGGTGACTGGGATGAACAATATATCGGCCAGAACCACAAAAAGATATCTGCAGGAGTAGAAAAACTCCTTGAAATCGAAACAAACATAAACAGCCCTCTTTCAATATCACCTACAGACAGGACATAAAATCAATTTCAATTCGAAAAAAACCGATAGCCCAGATACAAAATTCGAGAATCCGACAAGTTTGAGAAGCCATCGAGATTGAAAAACAATTAGCAGGGATAGTGACCGAAAACAATCATCAATGAATAAGAATTCCTTTTACCTGGCGGAATTATACTATCAGGAAACACCACACTATGTTACGTGCAGCAAGAGCAGTAACAAGTCTTGGTAATAGCATCTGAGACGAGGCGAAACGTCGACCATTGAACAGCATACAACGGATGAACACCCAGAAAAACAACCGAGTTTACAAGTAAATGTGGTCTACTATTCTTTTAGCAAATATCTTCTTGAATAGTTTGGATAAAGAACAAAGCAAAGAAATTTGTAATCATTCATCTCTTTAGTACTACCTGAGAGTATCTCTGATTTACCTCGCAGCACAAGAATTTACAAGATTCTCTCTAGAGAGCCGACATCTAGTAAAGAAAACCACTTTCCTGGAAATCTGACTCTTGATAACAACAGACCTCCCATCTTCGAGGGTGCTAAACGCCCAAAAAAGAACGATTGGGACGTCGCAAAGAAGGTTATCACAGCACAGGAAGTTGAATGGGCTATCAAGTCTTTTCAGCCTTTCAAATCTCCCGGAGCTCTTCTTCAAAACGGACTGAAAATAATATTACCTATTGTCACAAAATTGTATAGAGCTAGTCTGGCGTGGAACTATATACCACCCAGTTGGTTGGCAGCAAGGGTGGTATAAATACCTAAAGTGTGTCGGAGAAACCCACACCCTAAACCTGTACGACAAATCAGCCTTACATCCTTCCTGTTGAAAGGACTTGAGAGGATACTGGACGGACACATCAGGAGGGTAGCAATTAATGCAGAGTGCAACAGACTGTTGGTTGACACTGGAAGTCACATCATTCTGGAAATGACCTCTGACTTTATGTCTCCAACTGTCAACTACGAACTGCCTTATAAAGTACTTTTCCCTGAGTAGAGAGGACTGGATCCTCCAGAAGGAAATATTAAGAGCAGATAGTTGTTGGTTCGCAGATGGATCAAAAACACCTTCCAGTTATCGTGCAGGTGTTTTTAGTCGCAGACCCAGGACAGAGATATCCACCTGCCTAGGAAGTTATGCGACTGTATTTCAAGCGGAAATTCACGCTATTGAATTATGTGCGGAAAGATTGGATGAATTCAACCTCACACACCAGTCAATGAAAATATGCTCGGACAGTCAAGCGGCGTTGAAAGCTCTTGGCTCCTACCGAGCAACGTCTAAATTGGTAGCAAATTGCCAAAAACGACTCTCCTCGATAGGAAGACTCAACCGATTGTCTCTGGTCTGGATTCCTGGCCTGGAAGGCAACGAAGCTGCTGACTCCCTTGCATAGGGAGAATTGACTGAATGATATGTTTTTTCATTGTTAAGATCAATAAGTCATCGAATTCAGCAGATAAGTTGTTTGCCAATCCACAAGACTATCAATCATTTCATGTTTTGTGACTGTATCAGAATGAAAAGGATACATGAACATGAACAACCTTCTGTAATTCTGAGTTTTTTATTGGGTCATCTTCGTTCAATTTAGACGAGGTTGTTTGAGAATAGATGCTATTTTATTGAAGAAAAGAGTTACATTGTTTCCTAGATTCATTTCTTACCTAAATAAAAAGGATAGTGTCCTTCAGCAGTCAGTGGAGGAGACGCCATTGGAGGATCAACCCTTACTTGACATTGTTCCAGGACAATAACACCCAACGGTTCCGACCATGGATCTCTATTTTTGAAGTAGAACAAGAGGTTCCCTCTGAGGCGACACCACCTCTCTAAGCTTACTGTAAAATACGTATTATTGGGACTAATCATCTCAATTAGGTACAATTAGAAACAAGATACAGCTACAAAACATTTTCAGCGTGTCTACAAAATCAAACAAACTGCGGGTTTCCAAATTAAGCGTTTACAGGCAATGTTCAATACAAACGTGGTGCCCTTCTATCTCGTTTGTTGGTGAGGTAAAGTTTAACTACTCGTTTCGAGAATCCATTTAGGATTGTACAAAAGTTTTCAAGAAATGATTTGCTTTCAATTCAATATTCTTTGTATTAGGTTGTTTCAAAAGTATTGTCCGTCTTTATGAGTCTACATTAAACTGCAATACCTCAGTGGATACTTATTCAATTTAATCTAAATATGCGTCATTTGAATCCCTACACTTTTGCCAACGTAACACATGTCGATTAATTCCGTCAGCATAAAAATTGGATGCTCTGGATTCGATGAAGTCGACGAAGGCCATACAGCAGTAACTATCGTCTTTTTTGGTGGGTTTTCGCCTTTGGGAAGTGCCTGGGTGGCTCATTGGTGCCCAACCACTGTCCTGAATGTCTCCTGTTGTCGTGGATGATCCATTTTTATCATACCCTTCTTTGATCAAATCCCAGCGATATTTAGTTTATTTATTTATGAACATATAATTGGCCAGTAATCAGAGTAGATCTGGTGATAAGGCCTACAAAGTAATTCTTTGATTAATACAATCTTGTAATTATAACAATACCAAATTAATAAAAACAAAAATAATGTATAAAAAAATGTAATAAAGATGGACATTGAATGTGAAAAAATAAAATAGTTCCACAAAACATGTTGGTGTAACTTTTGTTTGATAACTTCAACACGGTAAAATTATACACAATCAGCCTACTTTCTAAACAGTTCGAATACAAATTTTTTAAAAGGTTTTTACAATTCAGTCCTAGAGGTAATGTTTGTGAAGTCTACAGAAAGTTTATTGCATTGCTGGATTCCTCTATAGATGGGTGTATCCTGATTTTTCTTTGTTCTCATATATATTTGTTTCAGTCTTGCATTTCTTGTATTGTGATTATGCAAATCTCCTACTCTTTTCATGGTGGTATTACATGAAATGTATTTATTCAAGATTCCATGTATAAGTTTAACTTGTACAAGTATAATGATTTGTTTCTATTTTCAGGAATCCCGTTATTTCATAGATAATGTCTGTGGAAGTTGGTCGATACAAGTTATACAAAGTTTTTATTGATTCGTTTTGCGCTCTTCCTAGCTTGATAATTAACTGTTGTGATGCATTGTCCCAACATGGTATGAGATACCTTATAATATGTGATTCAATATAGCTGTAATATATCGTTTTTTTGACATTGTGGTTTGTATATTTTGCACTGCGTTTCAATGCACCTGTCATTGAAACTATTTTTGTTATCACTTTGTTGATATGCTCTGTCCACTGAAGTTTAATATCGATCAACAGTTCTAAGTATTTGTAAACTTCGACTTCTTTTAGTAACTTATTATTTATATACAAATGTATTGTCCCATTTGGTTCCTTTTTGTGCTTTAGCATCATATATACATTTTTTTCAACATTTAATGCCGACGATCCGATCCAAAAAAGGAAGAATAAAGAAGAACAGACCTCTAAATCGTGGGGCACCCACTTTTCGAGCTTTTTGACCTTTCCAATACGTTTCAAACCATCAAAAAACATATGGGAGCTGTCGCCCAGTCCTTCCACCACCCCACGCACTGTTTGTGACGGGCAAATCTCCACCAGGGTCCTCAAATCCTCGTCCTGGATTATTGTAGGTCGACCACTTCGGGGCTCATCTTCGAGGCTAAAATATCCGGAACGAAATTTCGCAAACTAACGTCGAACACTATACGTCCATTAACAGCATCATTGCCAAATGCCTGGTTGATTTTTCGTGTTTGTTTCGGCAGCGTTTCGGTTCAATTTGAATTTGTATGAAAAAATGGGCCGAAAATCGCTGAACATTACATAATCAAAACATTAAAATTTGGACAAAATGAACAGCAACAGTGCATAGAATACAAGATTCTCTATCGATCAGTATATGATGATATTAAAACAATCAAAACTTTTAAAACAACCTAAAAGTAAGAGACAATCCTAAGCAAATACAATTCATGTAAAAATTTGGCCTTTCACGTTACAAAAGAGAAAGAGAAACATTGGCACCAGGCATATTTTATTCTGACAGACAAAAACCATATTGAAGATTATACAGTAAAAGTCAAAGTGTTTTGCATTAAAATTTTCAATTGCATTTTAGAATTACTGTTAAAAATGCACCTCTCCTTCAAGAACATTTCCTACACCAATTTAATTCTCTGTTCAAACTTGTTCAAATTTCCTATTTCATTTTCATACCTCATAATTTTCCGTGTAGCAATGAAATTTAAAAAAGTTAAGTATTTCCTGTGTCTGTAAACTCTTTCATGTACTACGATTTTTTTGAGTATTCAAAAGAGTTTTTCACATTTTCTCTCCAGTTGAAATTATATTTTACTGAATATATTTTATGATTTTTCAAAGACAAGCTGCCAGTTTTGCATACAACTTTACCATATCAAATATTTGATATAAAAGTACAATTGAAATAAAACCAGATTGAACTATGTACTGAATTCTTAAGAGCCTAGGCTTACCGAGGTTGGATTAATTTAATTCCCAGCTTTTTTCAGAACTTTTTCATACGTTTCAATGTTTTTTGGGGAAAAAGGTATATTACAGTTTATATCAAACTTGATAAAGTGAGAAGAATGAAGCCCCTGATTTTTCAACACTAAATATACAAGTAACCTGTAAAATATTTTTCAAAACCTTCAAGTACATAAACAAATCAATTCTAACCTACTACAATGTAATAATGGTAAATTATTCCCCATTTCATATTTCCTACAGCGAGATATTTTTAGATTCTTTAAATAGTTTTTTCATCCACCAGAAGCCCCTATTGTTTTCCATTTGATTGCCTTACATTACACTTTTCTCCAATATACAAGATATCATTTACAGATTTTCAGATAGACTTGATTTACAAAAAAAAACAAGAATTGAAAACTATCAATATCAAACAAAAATGATGACTTGAAAGTTGGAGATAGTTTGAGTTATGAAAAATTTGAAATGTTATTCCATTAAGGAATCATAAGCCATATCTGCCTTTTAAAACACCCTGTATACATGAAAATAATTTCTAAAAAAATATATTTGAAAACCATGTAGATTCCAACCTTTTATAATTATTTGTATTAGTTGCTTGACTTGACAGTTACTATATTTTCAAGCATACCTTTTTTTTTAAACTAAGAAACATGATTTAAACGTGTATTGAATATAAATTGATGTCTTTCCATAATCTGATCCACATTACACATGGACAAATATATGAGCATATTGTTCGTCAAATATGACTTTCATTGATTCTATTCGTTTTGTATATACAAAGAAGTGCTTTGATAATTTTCAGGTGAAAATAGGTGAAAAAGAAATTTGAATTTCTTGTTTAGCCGCTCGATTCACTTTCTAAACTGCCCTCTTGGGTCGGTAAGGTGTGCTTATATAATGTAACGGTTCTCTCTAGAAATCTATAGTCGGTTCGGCACTCGACTAGTTTTAACGGCGGTTGCCGACTGCATTCTTTCGCGGTGATGTCATGTGTTTGTTCGCTGGCCAGCATATCAGTCAGGGGCGGCTTTAGATTCGTTACAATAAAATATATAGAATCACAACCTCGACAACAATATTTTCCTTAAAATGTAATAATGTTTCTGAAAATTTAGTGCATACTATTATGGAATTGTACTATAGTTCAGAACAGAGGTGTATTTTTATAATTATGTTCCATTTTAGTTATAACTTTTGCCCATAAGATGTTCACATTCTGTATTATGTCTCTCAAAATGTAGATTCCACCAGACTAAATAAATATTATTTTTATATGGTAGGCATATTAAAAGCAAATATATTTGTGGTTGAATCTGGTAACACATGCTCAAGTCAATTTATCCCTCATCGTATTCAAACTGTGATAGAGATGGAAACTTTTGACATTTACTGTATAATATTCAATGCAACTAAGTACTACATACATGAATGAATTCCAAAATGCACTATGATACGCATATCTATCATATGAAAAGTAAAAACATGGAGGGTGTTTTACCAGTAGTTTCTGTTGATTCAGAAGCTGATTCCAAAAATTTTATGAGAAAGTTCCTTTGAGAATAAGTTTATAATTAAGTTTTCACTATGATGCAGTGTGTTGAATAGTGCATCTGTTTATTCAGATATACTTCACACATCAGACACATGTTCATAGTAACAATTTCGACCTTTAGTGTAGTAATTAATATTACTGGAGTTTTATCCCAACGCCAAATCGTTATTTTAACTTGACACGTGTTTCGATCACCAAGTGATCATCTTCAAGAGGAAGATTAAAGCTTAATCTTCCTCTTGAAGATCGTTTGGTGATAGAAACACGTCTCGAGGTGCTGAAATAACGGTTTGGAGTTGGGATAAAACTTGAGTAATATTCATCACCTGAATATATGAGTGCTCCACATATATTTCCTTAGAGAAATGTAACACCCTGTATATTTTCACATTTTTGAATACCAGGCATAATTCTATTGCGAGTTTATGCAATACACTCTATACAAACAATGAACCGTTCTTGAGATATTCATTTGTTTACTCAAAAAAAACTAAGAGTGATTCCCCCATAAAATTCAAAAGTTTGATAGAATACATAAAAAGCTATAATTGGTTCATCGAAATACATAATTCCATCGACTTGAAGGCGTAAAATTTCCAAAATATTATACAACGTGTTCGGAATCGATGACTAATTCTGAAGATATAAAAATGGGCCAAAACTCAGTTTTTCCAAAAGGAAAACCCTGTGTTCTAGAATAGTTTTGTCACTATTTTTCGGCTTTGAAGGCCGCCGATTTTAGAAATTATTTCCTGACGTTGCGCTGG